CCCCCCGGCGCCCCACCCCTTCAGTAAAGATGAATATTCTACACCTAGACGTGCCCTGCGCTAACGTGGCGAGTTACAGAAACAGGCGCTGAGCATTCACGAGAGCTGCATGCCTCGGGCGAGCCGAGAGTCTTGAGAGGAGCGAGGCCGAGCGCGTCCGCCGGGGGGCCGGTCCGCCACACCACGGCAAAGAGGCGCCCCGGGCGTCCCGACTCCCCCCTTCCACCAGAGGGCTCCCGGCGAAGACGCTCGACCTCTCCCTTTGGAAAGCGGCATGCGGGATAATTTCTGTTAATTTAGAGAACAGTTCGTTTATTCACCCCCCCACCCCCCACCCCGATGGCCAGTTCAGCAAACATCTTGAACTGCTGGAGTACGCTACACCCTGTCCCGCCCCGCGATAAAGTAAAGGCTTCTTCGTGGCAAAGGCAAATTCTTATCTCCCCCCCAAAAAATTAAATGCGCTCAGAATTTTGGTTTGCATGTCTCAGGAATTTCCAATCAGGCAGGAAACAGGGCAGCCCCTCCTGGTGCTGAACGGGAGGAGGGGGGGGGTCCTTCCTTAACACCACCCCCCCCCCCCCACTTCGGGGCTCAACTTCATCCAATCAGAGAGCTGCGTCTTGAGAGGTCAACGTTGCTGGCGCTCAGTCCCCTGGATTCCGATAGGCCAGCGTTAGGCTGCTGCAAAATCAGACAATAGCCGTAAGATTATTCGATGGATACTGACAGAGACGGCAGCACAGACGCACTGAACCGAAGTGATACACTGGCACACACACACAGAGACACAGAGTGGCACCCAGCAAAATGCACTGACTCACGCATGGAATGCCACCCTGACGCGCACGCAGACGCGCACGCAGACACGTACACAGACGACAGGCGCACACAGACAACGACTGGCCCCCAAGCCAGCAGGGACACACTGAGTGGCACGCAGACACGCACACACACAGACGCACACAGATGACGACTGGGCCCCAAGCCAGCAGGGACACACTGAGAAGCACGCAGACGTGCCGACCGGCGGCTCCGAGCTCGAACCTGTGCAGGGTCTTCGGCGGTCTTGTTGAGGAAGTTGAGAGAGCTCGCCCGCTTCATCCTGCGGACGAACACAGGGG